CCTAGAAAAAACTTTGGAGAGGGTGAAGGAATGGCCAAAGACTATTGCTTTGTCACCACTGTGTTTCGTAGCCCCCTCCTTTCTGAACTTCACAAGGTAGAATCCATCTAGAACTCTTTGCACTGCTATGGCTCTTAATCAGTGTTCTTCCCCACTGGAACTCTCTGAAGTTTATGACTGTTTTGATCCAGACATAATAACTCAGATTTTCCAAAGCAGACTTTCATGTAACTGTGGTTAACTTTTGCTGACTTAAGAAGTCAGAGTGACACAGCAGAAATGGGGCTGGATGTGGCATCAGACGACCTGGGTTTGAATTGGGGAGCAAGGTGGTACAAAAGAGAGAGCCCTAGACTTGGAGTCAGGAAGACCCAACTTTAAATACTGCCTCAAATACTCATTAGTAGTGTGTTTCTCTGCAAATCACTAACCCTCCAACAACAGCGTCCTCATCTGTAAAATGGTGATTATAATAGGACCTATCTCATAGACTTGTTTTGCTGATCAAATGAAGTGCTTTGCAAACCTTAAAGCTACATGATGCAATGGACAGAGCGCTGGGTCTGGAGTCAGGAAGATCTAAATTCAAACCCAACCTCAGATACTTATTGTATGACCCTAAGCAAGTCACTCAACCTTTGTCTGCTTCAGTTTCCTCTTCTGTAAAATGGGGGAAATGAAAGCACCTCATAGGATTGTGTTGAAGATTAAATGACATAATGTTTATAAAGCACTTAGAACAGTGTCTGGTACATAAGTAGGTGCTTTATAAGTTCTTATTCCCTTCCTCCTAAAGCTCTCTATATACACAAGTTCTTATGGTCATTGTTGAATTTCAATTCTGCCACTTGCTTAGCCATGTGACCGTCAACATGCTGCTTAACTTTTCTGGACCTCCATTTTCTTATCTACAAATGGGTGGGTGGGTGTTGCACTAACTTACTTGTGAGGTCCCTTACCACTCTCAATCCCTGACCTTCTCTTCTGAGATGTTAGGAGCTAGTATCATTTGAAAGAACATTTTGTTTCTTTGGCATTTACAAGTTCACTGCAGAAGAAAGGCAAACATGAGGTTCTTTCCCCCCCACCTCCTAACTCATTAAATAAGATGTTTGGGAAAAACCAGACCTAACATTGATTTCCCATAATGCCCCAATATAGATCATTAGCTGGCAATCAGCCTGTTTTCAATTCAGTTGACAGACTTCACATTCAGACAAATTTCAATCAATTTCTTGAGATCCGCTTAAAGAAACAGGGCAGATGATCCCTGAATTACATGAAGATGCATTGCTCCCTCCCCTTTTTGTTCATCTTGTCATGTTATGAGGGAAAACTGTAGTCAACTTTGTCTGGAACATTTATTATGATTTTTTTTTCACAGAGACTCATGAAGCTTATCTCTCCTACTTCCATTATCCTCATGGGAATTACGTTTTTTTTCCCTTCTCTTAGCAGTCATTCCATTATTTTATTAGCGTCCAAAATGAGACCTCATAAGCAGTGATGATCAGAGAATCATGGAAATTAGAGATGGAAATGACAGATTAGGTCTTCTTGTCTGTTTCCTGGGGCTAATGTTCCTGCCAGGTTGTAACTCAGTGCTTTACCCTGGCTCATTTGAGATGACACCAACTCTAGGTCCTCTACCCTATCCCTTGAGGCACTGGGCTCAATCTTAGGACTGTCCATATATCAGCAAGGAAAAATGAAGAGTGTTTGAATAATTACCAAGCCAAATTAGGCTCATCCCAACATGCTTTTTCTCTGAAGACAGACTAAGTGGCAAGGGCTATGAAAAAACAAACAAACAGATAACTTGGGTTCAAATCCTGTCTCTACTATTTGCTTTCTGTGTGAATTTGGGTAAAGGTCTTAGCCTCTCTGGGTCTTGGGATCCCCATTCCAGTGTTTTCCATCTTTTAATTATTTCCTTTTTATCCTGTATATAGCTTGCTTTGTATTTATTTGTTTGCATGCTGTCTTCCCAATTAGACTGTAATCTCCTTGAGGGCAGGGATTGTCTCTTGCTATATATAAAAAATAAGATATTTTCTAGATCTAAAATGAGAGTTGAACCAGATGACTTTTAAAGCTCAGATCCTTCTACCTCTAAATTGATGCTTGTCTGATTACTGCCTTGTTACCATGATTAAATAACTTCACCCCCCTGATTCTCAGTTTTCCCTACCTGCAAGTGGGGATAACAATTATTTGTACAGGGTTGTTGCAAGGATTAACTACAATTTAAAGCATTTTACAAACAACGGAGTCCTCTATAAATACCAGACATTGCTAATATCTTTTAACTTCAGTCAGTTTGGTGAGTCAGTCTAGATGATTCTGGTCAAAGAAAAAAAAAATCTGCTTTTTTAAAAAAATGTATCTTCTGTTTTCCTTAGCAACACAGTTTTAGATCCAAATGATCTAGAAAATTGTTCCAACACTTGGAATTATATTATTTCTTCATCCTCAGCTATCATTAAGCTGAGAAACTCAGAAAGAAGATAATCCACTTAATGGTTCAAATTGAAATGCTGGATCAGATGGAATTAAGGAAAAAAGAAAAAAAAAGGAAAGCAATTTTAAACAGCCTTAGTCTTTGTTCAATGTAGAGCAAACAGATCACCAGTAAAGAATGACCACCACCCAGCTTGGTGTCTTTCCACCACTGCCCCTCCCCCCAATCCTGAAGTAATAAAATTATTAAGGTGGCATTTACAGACTTTAACAGCCTTTTCCTTGGGGCTGTGAGCTAAACTCTCTCCTAGGAGTCAGGAAGACTTCTTCAGATACTGCCTAGCTGGGTGACCCTCAGCAAGTCACAAACCTCTCTCTGCCTGTTTCCTCATCTGTGAAATGAGGATAATAATAGCCAAGTCACAAAGTTGTTCTGAGGATCAATGAGGTAATGGACATAAAAAGCTTTATTCTAGCTTGTGAAGCACTACATAAATATGTGTGATTTGTCTGAATAATTCAAGTGGGTTCAGGGATAAAAGTAGAAATGCAGTGAAGCTGAAAAGAGGTGGCCTAGCATAGTGGAAACAATACTGCATTTAGGGTTAGGAAGACCATCTCAATTAAGTACCCACCATATACCACGCACTGTGCTAAGATCTAGGGATACAAAAAGAAGTAAAGCACAGGCCCTGCTTTCAAGCAGCTTATAATCTAATGGGGGGGACATGCAAAAAAAAAAATATATATATGTGTGTGTGTGTGTGTGTATGTATGTATATGTGTATGTATGTATGTATGTATATGTGTGTATACATCTGTGTATATACATATATATATATATATGTTTGCATATTGTCTCTCCCATATATATACACACACACCACACATACACACGAAGCTATATATGGGATACACAGGGAATAATAAACCTTGGAATTTAGAGAGGTTAGAGAAGGCTTCCTATACAGAAGTTAGGATTTCAATTGGACCTAGAAATGGTTGCTTAATTTCTCTAATTTCCTACTCTGTGAAATGGAATCAGTAGCAACCATCTGACAGGGTAATTCTACGGCTCAAGTACAATAATGAAGGGAAAGCTTTGTAAACTGTAGAGTGCTACATAAACGTCAGCCACTGGCATTATTGAATTGGAGCAAGGCTTTACCATAGCTGCACAGACAAGGCCCATTCTACTTCCAGGTTAGAAAACATTCTGACCCGTTTTGTGTTTCCTAACTTTAGACCATCCTACTCTTAGTTCTCAACAATTACCCTCTCTGGAATGTTCGCCCTCTTCAAATAGCTGCATCCATCTGTCACGTCCCAACTTAGTCATCAGTTGGCCAACTTCTGAGAGTCAAGTTCTTTTTCTTCCTTCATCATAAATCAGTCCCTTGAGATCTTCAATCACTTTTATTGCTGTTCTCCAAACTCTTACCCATTTGTCTACATATTTATTGCTTTGAGGGGCTCTGAACTATATTCAATATTCTAGGTTTGGTCTCACTAGAATCCAATAGAGGAGGCCAATCTTCGACCTCAGGGCTGTGATTCCACAGTCTTTACCATGGGAAATTACATCAGTTTCTTTTACCGTCTTGTCAGGCAGCAAGCCCATAACTAATTTGCAGCCAATCAATCACCTCGACATGCCTTTGGGTTTGATTTCTTTCTAGGTGTCTCTGTTCCATTGATTGTTATGATTATTTAGCATTTATTGATTCAACAATGCACCAGGCACTGTAGAAAACACAGACATCAAGATGGGAAAGTGGACTATAGTGAAAGCAAAATTGAAAAATATCTTTCAAAAGGAATAGAGACAGTAATGTAATTTCAGCCCAAGATTGTCTGAAGGGGAGAAACAGGACATACAATGAAGCTGAAACCAGGGATTTCTCTCTCTCTCTCTCTCTCTCTCTCTCTCTCTCTCTCTCTCTCTCACACACACACACACACACACACACACACACACAACACATTCATATACATGCATGCACACACATTCAGACATACCCCAAATAACTATACCTCCTAACTCAACAGACATTACTTACTTCCCATGTCTTTACAAATCACCCTTTGCTGACAACCCTAGTAAAAACAAGTTGCTACTCCTGTCATTGCCAGGTGCCAATCACACCCTTGGAGAGGCAAGCTGGAGTCTGCTCAGCCTCGTGTGCCTCCAACAAAATCATGGGCTAAAGTATGTCTGTGGAATCCTCAGAGTTGGTGATAGTGTGGAAAAGAGGAAGAAGGACAGCTTGGTTTTCAGATCCCAGCTGGAGTCTGCATGGCTGCGAGTCAGAGACATCATCTCTTGACTTGTAAATGGAGAAAAGTTGATATGAACGTCACCAAGACAGGATAAATATGGAAATGCACAGTGTCATTTTTTCTCATTTTACTGAGTTGCTGCTCAGAATATAACCAAGCTTTGGCTCAGTTCCTAACTGTGCAGTTGTCTCATGTCATACCACATCTGAGGGTGTGGGGGAGGTCTTGGGATTTGGCTGGCTTGCGGTTACTTCACTTACCCCTGGTTTGTGCCCCATTCGTTCCGAATACAGAGATGCTTATGTACTGGATCTTTCATGTATCCTTCATAGCAAAGGCATTCCCCTTAGAAGCAGAGTAGGGAGGAGGAAAGAGAAACATGAATGAGTTCATTAACACTCTGGCTTTGTGCAAATTAATACAAAATGGCCAGACTAAAGTCTGCCCCTAACAACAATATGAATGAGCCAGTGAATCCCATCACCACATCCCATCTCCCGGTGGACAGAAAAGTCACATTGTGAAAGGAAAGGAAAGCCACAGTGACTAAAATGTGCTTGCCCATCCCTCCTACTTTCAAGCACAAGATAATAATTACTAGCCTGCACCACAAATGATTGACTTAAAGGCAACTGTCCATCCTTATTTTCTTCTTCCTCCAAGAAAGCCAATCTTAACTATAAAATGAGGTTTGGTAATTCTTGTACACTTGGCAAGCGAGGCTCATCATCTGACTGTTGTCTTTCTCCAATCTAAGCTTCATGTCATTACTTTATTTTCAGGATGCTCACATGTGAAATATGTGAGCACTTTAAGTTCAGTGCAAACACCATGTCAGCATGGTAATGTCAGAGTACTGATTTGCAAGACCCTTGCTTCCTTATGGTCAATTTCCATAGTACTCGTCACCATTGCCACTGGTACTGGGCTCACCCAAGTGCATTTTTTTTTGGCTAGGCAATGGAGTTAAGTGACTCGCCCAGGGCCACCCAGCTAGTTAAGTGTCAAGTGTCTGAGGCCAGATTTGAACTCAGGCCCTCCTGACTCCAGGGCCAGTGCTCTGTCCACTGCACTACCTAGCTGCCCCTCCAAGTACATTTTTTTTTATTCAAGTACAATTTTTTAACCCTCTCATTTGTTGGTGAGGCAAACTAGAAGAGAAAGAAGGTACAAGGAAGTCAAGGACTTCGTGTTTATAAACATGCTCATTCATCCAAAGGCATCATGCACCAGTTATACATTTTTTGGAAACACCCCCAAAAAAGAGAAAGAAGAGAGAATTTTACCAGATAGTAAGCTTCAAGAAATAAAGAACATGTCTCTAAATTGTTTCTCTCCCAGTGCTCCTAGTATAGTTAGCTATACAAAGTAAGTGCTGAATACGTGCTTGTTCAATTAATACTGAATTAGAAAGACATAAACAAATATCACTATGGGTTTGATGAGACAAGTTACCACTTAATCCATGGAGTGCTCAACTTTCCAAATACAGAAATCAGGACAAAAGAGGTAAGGTGGTCTCACAACATGGAAAGACAATGGCATCATATTCAGGGTTTCAGTCTGGCTCATCCCTTTATGGAAGAACTAGCCCATAGGTTTTGATAGAACAGGGTTGGAAATTCATTCAAAAAGCCCCATCATACATCCTCTGATCTGGGTTCTTAAGCAATTTGTTCCTAGCTTATGAAGAATCGACAAAGAATGTTAAGGTGGGTTTTTTGGAGTGTGTGACAATTTTTGGAAGAGACTTTAAAGGCATACAACACATAGGACCAGAAAAGGTGGAGGTACATTCTCCTCTTTTTTTGGTTGGAATGCAGGTAAGGATCATCCACAGGTGTAGAATATTGCTTGTTTCTTTTCTTTCTCTTTTTCTTTAAGAAAAAGTCTTTATTATAGGGAAGAGTTCTCTTGAAGAAAGGAGGATAGAGAGGGAAATCAAGACAGCGTAAGAGGCTTCATGGATATCTATGAAATATTAAAAAAATTAAAACAAAAGAAGACAGAGGAAGGTCTCCAGCACATTGCTTGCATAATCCTTCAGTGGAAGAGCTATGGAAAGAACAGGGTAAGAAGCCATGTAGTTTACTAAGGAGATTATAATGGAGCACATAGAAAGATGGCCCACATGGATCACATCAGGAATCTTTTGAAGCATTGGAGTAATTGACCAGTGATGATTTTGTCATAGATTAGTCTTGAATAAATCTATAAGTTCCAGATTAAATGGCAAGGAGTGAAAACTACAAATGGTGAATTGATAATTACAGAATAAAGGAGTACAATACACCCCTATAAGGCTTAGGGAATCAGGTGTTTTTGTTTCATGTTTCATTCTATAATTCAAACTAAAAAAATGAACCTGGCTAAATATATAAATGGTGCCAAAATGGTATTATTATCATCAATTAATTCATTGGTTCAGGAAAAGAAAAAGGACGAAGCAATCCAGCAAATGTTCCTTCTAAGCAGAGTGAGGAAAAGGACAGGAGCTAAGATACTGGCTAGAGAGAACATTTTATTCTCTGAACTTTTACATGCTTTCAGTTTCCCAGGAGGCCTGGGTCCTGTTGAGGTTTTGCTCTAAATTCACTTACTTTTATTAAAAAGAAAAATAAAAAAAAATGATTCAGGCAATTGAATCAATTATGGATTATTCCAAGGTGTCCCTCCTCTTAGAAAACTGTACTTCACAGAATGCAAGGGTTGGAAGGAAGCTTGGTGGAGATCTAATCTTACCCATATGCAAAAAAGAAATGCCATCGTAACATATTTGACAAGTGGCCATGTTTCTTTTAGAGCAATGCCCTTATGATTCTATGTGGAAATATTGGTTGCATTCCTTTTTAACATCAAGAAACAGTAAATGAATTGTAGATGCCATTCATCTCCACTGAACCACCCAAGGTGAATGGATGTCTGATCGCTTAAAGATCTCTAAGCACCTTATGGAATGCTGAAGTGTCATAGCAATGCTTTGGAGGCAGCATGGCATAAAGGAAAGATGGTAGCAGAATTAGAGAGCCTGCATCTTAATCTCAGCTCTGCCATCTACTAGTTTTGGGATCTAGATTAGCCATTCAACATTTTTAGTATGTTTTTTCATTTTTAAAATTGGGATAGTATCATAACTAGCATATTGTTGTGAGTATCAGACACAATAATGATTGTGAAAGTGCTCATAAAACAACTCTGTAAACTCTGCACTTGACATCTGGTCATTATAACAAAAACTGAAATAAATACGATGCCTACTGAGAGAGTCGCCAAAGGCACTAGAAGGTGATTTGTCCACGTATTATATGTCAGAGGCAAGATTTGAACTCAGATCTTTCCAATTCAAGATTAGCTCTCTACCCATTATACTATACCACACTCCCTCTCACATTTGCCAATCTGTATTGTTGAAGGGGATTTCCACGCCTGGAGTTATTCCTTTGGACTGAGGTCCACAGTGACAAGCAAAGACAACTATATAAGAACTCAGCTAGTGCCTGACATCATTATTATTGTTGTTGTTCATATATTATATTTATGTTGATATATTATAACATAATTATTGTTGTTAATATACTTGTTGTTAATGCTCCCCATCCCCTATCCCTCCTCATTTTTGGTGGGGATGGGGTTAAGGATCATCCACGGATATAGAATATTGCTTATTTCTTTTCTTCCTCTTTTTCTTTAAGAAAAAGTCTTTATTATAGAGAAGGGTTCTCTTGAAGAAGGGGGGATACAGAGGGAAATCAAGACAGTGTAAGAATAAAAGTTATTATAAAAAACTTATTAGGATAATAGGGGATGGAAATTCATGTACACTTTAAAATTAAAAAAAAAGTAAGTCCTTAATCAATATGAACTAGTGGAAAGACCAGGAATTGGCAGTCAGGAGGCCCAAGTTCAAATATTTACTACAACACTAGCTTTATTATCACGGCCAAAGTCAATTCACCTATCTAAGCCTCAGTTTCCCTATCTATAAAACAGATAATAATCCCAATGGGACTGGTTGCATGTTTGTACATCTTTTAAAGTCCCGCTTTCACACACATCATCACCATATCAGGTCTAGAATTTGCACTTTATGGACAAGCTGCAAAGACAAAGAAGACGCAACTTCTCTCTCCAAACTGGTATTTCAAAGGCCAAGAAACAGAGAAGTATTTTAAAACTCTGTCCAGATGAATGTCCACAAGAACAAAAATAATGAGAAAAGCTGACCTTGACAGAGCACTTAAGGTTTGCAGTCATATACATTTCTTGTCTCGCTGGAGCCTCACGGCAAGCCCTTGAATGTAAGTTCTACAGATAAAATTGTCCCCGTTGTACAGAAGAGGGTTACACAATTAATAAACATTTAAAGTGAGATTTGAAATCAAGTCTTTCTGATTCCACATGCAGTAACCTCTTTGGGAACAGTTCAGCTCAACCTCTCAGGTGGGACCAATCTCCATTCACAACTCAACATCGATGGAAGAGGTTAGTATGGTTGTTGGTATTATCTACCACCACCATTCAAAACCAGTTTACCCAACTCCTACTTTTACAGAAGTCGAGAGGAAAAGTTGTCATGGCAACCAACTGCTAAATCTTGACTTTGAGAGGGGCTTCGCGCATGCACAGGCTTTGATTGTTAGCTGTGAATTTTAAAGGCCCCACAAGGGTGTTGGATACCCTCCGAAGCTCGAAGTGTTACAGTCTCTGCATCTGCTGTGACAGATGGTGGTGAGCACACGAAGCGCTGACTCTGTGGTGATATACACAGGAATCCAATGGAGAAACGTGTCACTGCTACAGAGAAGTACCAACCGTAGGTAGAGTCTGAACTGTGAGAGGCAGTCGCAGGCATTGGTACTGCCAGAGATTAGGAGTCCATCAAGAGATGTACAGGCCAGGAACACAGGGCATTGATGCTTGACATCCTTGGGATCCTCATGACAAGTTATCTCTGGGTATCTAGCCAACTGTACAATATCCTTAACATTTTTTCCACAGTGGACGTGGAAGCAAAGAAACCAGCTTAACCTGCGTCTCCACATACTTAATGATATGAACTCCCCATTGGATCAAATTCTGCTTGAAATAACCTTCTTCCTCATCAGCTAAATCCAGAGCAAGACAAATAGAACCCTGATTGATGACTATACTTTCATGGGGCAATATGGCATAATAGATAGTGGACTGGACGTGGAAGTAAAGAAGACCTGTGTTCAAATCCTACTTTAGATTCTATCAGCTGTGACTCTGGGCAAATCCCTTAATGACTCTGTGCCTCAGCTTCCTCAATAGTTATATCAGGAGTTTGAACTCAATGACCTGTTATATCCGTGCCAGCTCTAAAT